TTTTTTTTTTTTTTTTTGGTACTGGGGATCGAACTCGGGTCCTTGCGCTTGGCACAGCAGGCAGCGAAACCACTGAGCTAAATCCCCGGCCCAAAATCTCATTACTTTAAACTAAAAAATTTTAAGTCTTTATTATTTTGAAAGCTTAATTAGCAATGAAACTATAGTTTCATGGTCAAAGCTAACTATAATACTTTATCTCAAAATATTATTTATACAAAAGATATTTTTATATTACTTATATTTTCCTAAAGAAGACATAACCATATTTTCTCATGAATTGGCTTTTTCTATCATATCTATGAGGCAAAATTTTGTTTTAAAGAGTTCATACAATAAGCCGGGCATGGTGGCACACGCCTGTAATCCCAACACTGGGGAGGCTGAGGCAGGAGGATCGCTGTGAGTTCCAGGCCAGCCTGGGCTATAAGGTGAGTTCAGGGCAGCCTGAACTACAAAGGGAGACCCTGACTCAAAAAGTTAAAAAGAATAAAAAAAGAGTTCATACAATACTTTATTTAGGAAAAAACAGAAACAAAGTTTTGTAAATAGGGAGTGGTTGAGGGGTGGAGAGGTGGAAGGGAGGGAAGAGGAATGGGGAAAAAACAAGAACCAAGATATATCATGTACAGGTACAAATTCCCAATGATGAATGCAATCATAATGTATACCTAAAATGTAACAATAAACTTAATGAATAAGAAAAAACTGCTTTAGAGGATATATTAAAGGCTTTTTTGTGTTATTCTTTGAAACTCAATATACTGGTTTTAAGTAGATAATGCAACTTAGTTTACATTAATAATCATTATCAATAATCCATGAATTAATTCCAAGCCAGAATACCAGTAATAAATTCTACACATGAAAATTTTAATAGGAAAAATCTAAAGGCTAAAATGAACACTAAGTTATTCTACTGCCAAATTTCTAAAATTTTTTCACTTCAAAAAAAGTTTGCTTTAGCTGACTGAGCATGATGGTGAATGCTTGTAATCCCAGCACTTGGGAGACAGGCAAGAGGACTGTTGTGAGTTCAAGACCAGCCTGGGCTACATAGTGAGCTGAAGGTCAGACTGAACTACACAGGGAGACCCTGTCTCAAGAAAAAGAAAAAAACACTGTTCGCTTTAGAAACACATACCTTTTTCTTTGTTTATTCTGTTGAAGTAAGTCTACCTTCAACTTTATACATTCCTCTTTGGACTCTCGCAAACTCTGTTCTTTTTCAATCACCATTTTCTGGCTCTGCTCTAATTTATCTTCTGCCTCTCTATAAAATAAAATTTACAAGTGACAACAACAAGTATATAATAACGCAACACTAGAAATTCTATGACTTTGAATCAGGGAGTTGAAACAGAAAAAAAGACATATTCATCATTTTCAACTAAAGTTTTTATAAGGAATAAATACTTTCATCAAATGAGAAATATACCTTAGGTAAAGGCTCATTGTATTTCATAGTCACATACTAGAAACATTACAAAACAAGAACAATTGTTATCATTCTTACATCCAAAGACTCTTCTGACAGTTCTACCCAAAAAAAAAAAAAAAAAAACTGATTAAGTAAAAAGAAGTATTAAGAATGCTAAGAAAGGGCCGGGGATTTAGCTCAGTGGTTCCGCCGCCTGCCTCACAAGTGGAAGGACCTGAGTTCAATCCCTGGTACCAAAAAAAAAAAAAAGAATGATAAGAAAAGCAAAATTTTTTTTATTTTATGATGATATCATTACCTACCTAGAAAACTGAGAACTGAGACGTTAATTGGAATAAGAATGTTAAAAATAGCCCAATTACAAAATAATTATACTATACAAAAATCAACCTAGGACACAGTTAGTCCCAGCCATTTAGAAGGCTAAGGCAAGAGAATCACTTGATCCCTGGAGTTCAAAGCCAGCCTGGGTAACAAATACCCTATTTCTTAAAAAAAAATCAGTAGTCTTCCCATCTACTAGCAATGAACATAATAGGAACAAATTCACAATAAAAAATTATAAAATATCTAGGAATAAGTTTTAAATATAAAATAATATGTGCATTACAGAGAAAATTAAAAATTGGTAAGACTTGAATGATAACTTTAGAATATATCAGAATCATTTGCAGAACTTGTTAGAACACAGATTTCTGGGGCCCACCTCCCAGTAAGCCTGAAACTGGAGCTGCAAATTTGGCTTTCTCATAAGTTCCCAGATCATACTACGACTGCCAGTCTGAGAACTGTACTTTGAGAATTACTCAAATACTGTAATACGCTATTCAATAAATACACACACACACACACACATACACACACACACACACGTTATTCTAGGAAGAAGAGAAAAATAACTGATAAAGTATCCAATTCCTAATATTTTATTTCCTAAACTCCATTAAAATACTGAGTATATATATTACTATACAGGGAAAGAAACAAACCAATTTACATTTAATGAAAATATGTAAATAAGCATCTTTTTAAAGTTCTTATATGCTAGTTATAACTTGTAGCCAAGACTGACTGAATGAAAATATATCCAATAAATTCTAGGACATCTGGACACTATTTTTAGTGTATAATTTAGTGTATCATTTATAGTGAGCTATAAATTTATAGGTCACTATAGATTTATTGGAGTAGGGTGAGGGGTAAGATTTAGCAAAATATAACAACCAGAAAAAATTAAAAAAAATTTTTAATAATAAAAATTTTAAGGCTATAAAAAGTATATTTACCTCAAAACTTTATCTTGAGCTGAAACTTCTGCTCCCAAATTCATAATCTGTTCTTCTAAGATTGGGATAGTTGCTGCATGCTGTTGAGCAGACTCAAGCACAGAAATCTAAACCATAAAAACAACTTTTAGAACATTTTCTTTCAAAAAATAAATTAATGTACTTGATCCTTAGCTGTTTTCCTATCAGATGAGAGGGTTCAACAGGATTCCACAATCATTGGTCAAATGTAAAGTTCACCATATTTCTTTTATCAACATTTACATGGGTATGTCATTATCAAAAAAATACTCAGCATGTAAGATTCTACTATAACCCTTAAATTAATATCCCAGTATAACAAATTAGTTATTTGGGAGAAAAATAAGAGTATCTACTGATATACCATTTAAAAAGATTAGTGTCACATAAATTAGAAAAATATGTCAAACTATAAAAAGTTATATAAGAAAATATTTATAGCAGGGTATGGTATAACATCCCTGTAATCCCAGCAGTTTGGGGGGCTGAAGAAAGACGATTGCAAGTTCAAGCGCAGCCTGGCTAACCTAGCAACTTAGGGAGACCCTGTCTCAAAATAAAAAGGGAGAAGGTGCTAGTGGTGCAGCTCAGTGCAATGGTTCTAGGTTCAAACCCCAGTACTACCAAAAAGTTTATATATATATATATATAATATATATTAAAATTTTTATGATTTAAAAACTAATTATAAAATACATGCTTAATAGGGAAACCCTAGATTATACAGGAAAATGTAGTAATCATAAAACTTGGAAGACGAACAGAGTATACTGTTGTAGCATCTTATGAATGACTCTACAACCTAAATGGTGAAGAAGAAAATTACTTTTCTTTAAATTACTCAAAAATCAAAATATCAATGAGAAATAATTATTCCTAAAAAGAAAGTTGAGAACATGTAGAATATGAGGTACAGTAGAGGACAGGGATGAGATACTGGGTAGAAAATCAGAGATATAATTCAAAGTTTCTACAGAAAACAACCACCCCTTTCTTTTCTCCTTCCCAGAACACCAACAGCAAGGCCTACAGGTAAATAGTTTAAAGTAGAAAAGAAATTGAACAAGACAAGCTTGGGAATCTGGGGCACTACACACAATCATGAGCAAGGATGAAACAGCTATAAATAAGGAAACCAATATAAAACCATCAGCCACCAAGCTCCTATTCCATCTCACTGAGGACTATCATGCAAGTGGGAGATCAAAGGTTCTTTGCTGGAGAAACTAAATACAAAGAAAAAGACCATCACAAACTGATACTTGTTGAAGGTAAGCAGATGCTTCCCTAGAAAAGAGCTACTGCTACAATTATCACTCACAAATTAAGCCCACTGAATAAACCACCGATCTATAGAGCTCCAAAATAGCATTTATAAATGCCTTTTTCCTAATATGAATAGTCAAAACACTAATATCTCTACCATGAAAGAGGTCCAAACAAAACAAAAAAGGAACTATCAGCAAGAAAAGCAATTATATCCTGCAAATATATATATATATATATATATAAATCACTGTATCTTCAGAGTTTGCTGCATCAGGATGTTCCTTTTTTTTTTTTTTTTTTTTTTTGGTACTGGGGATTGAACTCAGGACCTTGCTCTTGGCAAGGCAGGCGCCAGAACCAGGATGTTCTTAAATACAAAAGAGAGAAGAAAAGGTTTTGGAAAAGAAAAAAAGTTTGATAGTCAAAAGATTCAACAGAAGTATAAAAATAATGTTAGAGAAATCTTCTGTAAAGAACCACAGCAGATAGGGAGATGAAAAATCTCCATGACTTAGGTTTTTCCCCCCTAAAAAAAACCCCTAAAATATTTAGAGGAAGAATTCTGGTAATGGGGGACATTTCCCAAAGGAAAAACAGAAGAACATAGAGGGAAGACAATTCTATCATTATACAAAAACATAATAAAAGAAAAATTTGCAGAACCAAAAGACACATATTTTCAGCCTGAAAAGGCCCTGATGTAGGCCCAACACAAGTAATGAAGACCTTCAAAGACACATCAACATAAAATTTAAAAGAGAACAAGAAAAATCCTAAAATCTATAATAAAGTGAAAAACAAATGAATAAAAGATCACATGCTAAGGAAAGTGATTCACAATAGCATCCGACTTTTCAAAGCAGCACTGGAGGGCAGAAAATAAGAAAGCAATGCTCTAGAAATTCTGAGAAAAAACAATTTTCAGCCAGGAGCAATGGCACACACCCGTAATCCCAGCTACTTGAGAATTTGAGACAGGAGGATTGCAATTTTGAAGCAAGCCTGGGCAATTTAAAGAGACATTATTTAAAAAAAAAAAAAATTAAAAAAATTAAAAAGCCTGAGTGGCAAAACACAGAACATTTGCCTAGTATACATGAGGCCCTTGGTTTAATATCCAGTACCACACACACAAAAAAATTTCTTTCAACGTAAAATTTAATCGTGCAATAAGGAGAAGTTAGGACTTTTCAGAAAGGTGAGGAAGCCACTGGAAGATGAGCTCTAATTACAAAAAAGAATAGAACAAACTGAGAAAGAACACAACATGGTATTCAAGAAACAATATGTTCAACCTAGAATAATATCAGAAATGCCTCAGGATGGCAGCTGGATAGCAGGCATGGAGGGCAAAATGCTCAGAAAGAGCAGGATGCCAGGTTCCAGATGTGTACAAAACATTGCCAAAAGGTAAATTATGAACATACTGATTGAGTCAATGGAGAACTTCAGCAAAAGTTTCCTAATTCATCAAAGGCAGACTCTGGGATTACAACTGTAATAACAGCACTCTGGGGGGCTAAGGCAGGAAGACTGTAGATTGGAGGCCATCCTGGGTCACAGACCAAGGCCCTCTCTCAAAATACCTGGGGATGTAACTCAGTGCAAAGGCCCTGGGTTGAATCCCTAGTACTGCAGGGGGCGAGGGGAGGACGCAACTACTCAGAATTTCCCTGGAAAAGGCAGCTTCCTTAAAAAATATTTTATTGAGGTAATTTAGAAAATGTTAAAAGGGGGAATAAAATATTATCTGCATAAAATAACCACTAGTGTGTTTATATACCAAAAAGTCCAAAATTTTATTACTTCAATATATCTCTCTATACTTTATTCTCTATATCTGTTTTGACTTTAAGCATTTATGTTTTACAAATTATAGTTGAAAAAATTTAAAACATCATTATTGAACAGGAAAAGTGAACACAGGGAAATCTACACGGGAAACAAATATTCTAAAAAAATAAACTTGTTAAGAAATCAAGAAAAACAGTACAGTAAGTCTCTGACTTATGAACATTCAAGTTGTGAGCTTGCAGATACCAATGGACCTTGCATTAAGAACACTTGTAGATGAGTCCCACAGAACACGCCGAATCAGCCTGCTGCAGACAGGCAGGTCTGCCCACAAGCTACCGAGGTCCTGAGTCGCACATAACACGCCGAATCAGCCCACTGCAAACAGGAAGGTCTGTGCATGCCCTACCAAGGTCCTGAGTCACGTGGAAGACGCCAAATCACCCCGCTGCAGACACGCAGCCCCTTGGTTTCACACTACAAAGATGCAGAGGACACCAGAGCACCAGACCAAGGTACTGAGTCCCGCTGTTCCTGGCCCAGAGGTAGGGGCTTCTGAGCCATTGTCCCACTGCTCCTGGTCCAGAGGAAGGGGCTTCC